AGACGGAAAGACGGGCAAGCAGACGGACGGAAGGACGGGTGGACTGGATGGGTGCGTAAAAGGACATACGCTTGTAAGCACGGATGGATGGATGGATGGATGGATGGATGGATGGATGGATGGATGGATGGATGGATGGATGGATGGATGGATGGATGGATGGATGGATGGATAAGAGATGGATTGCTGGATGGATTGCTGGATGGATAAGAGATGTGGGTGACATTAGTAAGGGTGGTTTTCCTAGCCCTACATCCACTTCGATGTGTCTGATCAGAGTCAAAATGAAAGTCCAGTTTCCTGTTTAAGTATGCTGTTTTGAAAGGGTCTCTGATCCCATAGCGTACACTACCACGCCGTATTTAGTAAACAGGAAACTCTTCCGTTCGCTCAATCAAACTCCTTATTTCTGAGCTCTTCCCGCTGCCCTCTACCTCCTCACACCCAAACCTCTCAGGATTCTTCTCCGTGAGAACTGAAACGAAACTGATGAATGTTCCGGACAATAAAGGTCAGTTAGCTTGACTTGTCAGAAGGGACGAAAAGATTCTACAAATAGCTACACACAAGAGATGAGTCCAATGATTATAAATACCGTATTTACGGTCAATGGATTAGTCTGGCTGGGTTTAATTAGCCCCTTGCTCCAGGCTTACCAACCACATGACATCCACGTTCATTAAAAAAATATTTTCTTGTTGTTATTAGTATTATCATTGTTCTTATCTTTAATATTAATATCATTAGTATGATAGTTGCTTTATGAATTCAAATATCTAGTTTGAGAATTATCAAAAAATCCTGGATATTTAACTAGAGATTTAAAAATGACTTCACATTTATATAGAGACGTTTCAAAAACACAGTAAAAATAGTTGTAAAGAGAAAACCATGACAGTAAGCTGAGCCTGTACCAGTCAGGTGCTAGATACAGATGTAATTGAGAAATCTTTAAAAAGCCAAAATATCAAGCCAGATTTAAATAAATCTGTGAAGGAAAAACCAAAATTGAAACAACGTTTCTCTAGATTGATACGAATAATTAATTTCAAGAGTTAGAAAACATTACTGAACGTGAAGATATTATGGGGAACAAAATGAATGGTTTAATAAAGAAGGCTATGGAAGAAGATAATGTCAACTCAAACTCTATGAAAGCAAATAAGAAGAGGCTAACCCATAGTTCTCTTGTCTTCTCGATGTTTTCTCTTCTGTGAAATGAGGTTCTTAGGTTTCTAAATGATTCCTTACAAGTGTTTATGACCGGGATATTTTTCGCGCTCCTGTCTTGTAGACGCCAGCTGGACTGTGCCTATTCTCTCCAATTTACTACAAATATCCGTCAAATCAAATACATTTATCCATTAAATATTTGGCAACTTGGAAACACATTTGTCACTTTTCCCATAAAACTACGACATCTACAGAGTTGGAAGTTGGCAAGTACTTGCAAATAGATAGATAGGTTCCCATGACTTAGCCCGATTTTTTATTTCCTGAATTTAGACAAATATATTCAACAAAAAGTTCCCGTCCTCCTTTGGCCTTTGTGATTATTTCACTGAGAAACGAAACAAATCTGCATAGCTGCCCATCACAGCGGAAGTGCTGAAAGTGATATTTCGCGAGGCGCAGTTTGTTTTGAGAATACTCGTAGATCTAGATCTAGACCTAATTTTTTGCATCTCTCAAGATTTATTGCTCCATTCCAGTAAAGTGTAAATATAGTAGGCCAATGAATTTCAGTTGATGTTAATTCACCGATTATTCCTTTCATCGAAAGGGGGCACAGCTAGTTGTTAATGTTTCACACCCCCATCAGTTCAATTCAAATTATGTGGGAGGTGGAGAGATGCATCCCAAAAAATAGCTTTATGGCATTATGTCTTTTGTGTACAAGAAGAAAAGCCTAACCCTTTCCCAAAAGACGTAGTCCACGCAAGTCAGTTCCAAGGGGATTTTATTTATATTAGCAGCCACAAACGCTGTAAAAAATGACAGAAAGTTTGATGAAAGCTTAACAGGAAAAACATGCACAAAAAAGATGAATACATTTGCGTGAGATGTGTGGGTTTCTGCGCTAGTTTCGCTTACATTCCTGACACACGCTTGTGGTTAATCCCAACAGACTTGATTCTTTCATTTTAAAAGAGATTGACAGCTTCTTTGTTCGCTGTAGTCGCTTAGTCTATCCATTGGCTCAAATTTCGTCGGCAATTTCATTAAGAAACCAATCAGATTGGCGGGGGCCTTATGAAAGGATTGAAGTGAAAAGGTCATGTTTGAGGGATGTTCATTATATTTAAGCTGTTCTTGTAGGCACTAAGATTAAATGAGATTATTCTCTTTACGACTCTTGTTTTGCAGTTGCAGATATATTTTGTGATTGGTCTGATTTTGTGTTAGGTTGTCTTGTTGTTGTTGAGTTTGTTTTGCTTTGGATTTTTGTTTGTTTTGTTTTTGTTTTAGATGTTTTAGATTGTTTTCTTTGCTTTTGTTTGTTCTGGTGCGGATTTTTTTTCTTTTCTTTTGTATTTATGGTGGTGGTTTTTTAGGTGTTTTGTTTGTTTGTTTTGGGGGTTTTGTTGTTTGTTTGCTGTTTTTGTTTGCTTTGTTTTGTTTCGTTTCGTTTGTTTGGGATTTTTGGCGGGGGAAGGGGGTCGGGTTTCTAGTTAGACCGAATAACGAAGGTATTAAAACGCTCTTCAGGTTTTCTTTGTAAAGGAAAGATAACAGAGAAAAATTATGTTCCCGTCAGCATTGTTTTCAGATAGCATAATCTTATCGCCATGACCCGGAGCAAAAGCGAAACGAAATAAACCATCGATGATCTCAGAACATTGCAGGTTTCACGGTTGTAGGATATAACGACCCACTACGTGGATAGCTTCTTGCAGCGCTTATGAATAAATTAACACATCTGGGTGATCGTACTTATAGTAGACAAAGAAAGGGATATAGAGGGAGGAAGGCTGAGAAATAAAAGGTTTCCAACTTCTCATTTCTGAAGCAAAAAATTAGAGGTTTTGTACATGAACAATAAAGGTTACTTTAGTGGGGGGGGAAATGTGAGAAACAAAGAGGTTTTGTGTAATGTAATATTATTCATAGCCCTTTTGAAACAAACAATGTCACCTTAACAGAGACTGAGCCCACCATTTCGGAACTTCACGGTGACTGCAAAGAAGGTTCCAGTAGGGGACGGGATAGAGGGTGCCCACGTCCCTCGTGACTCATTGGAGCAGAGGAAGATAGGACTAACGCCAATATTACTTGAACGCAATCCCTCATCATCACTCATCACCACCATTATATCTAAAAATCATCACCGCTCTCGGATCAATGACTTACATCTATAATCCTGGAATCTCTATCTGCTATTACAGTTACTTGTTATACTAAGTATGCACTTAATACACTATTGGACACTATCATATGCACTTTTTTCTACTAATCAGATGGCGTCAATCTCATAAACGGACAAGTGAGAAAAAAAAGGGGAAAAAAGTATAAACCCTTTTGGTGTGAAGGGTGTAGGTTTAACGTTACTATGAGGTGTGAATGACATTGGGACCCACAACCCTAACACATCCCACAACCCTAACACATCCCACAACCCTAACACATCCCACAACCCTAACACATCCCACAACCCTAACAGATCCCACAACCCTAACACATCCCACAACCCTAACACATCCATAACAATTGTGTCTGATATTCCTCTATGTTTGTTTTCTCCGCAGGTTGTTTCAGCCTTCCAACAGAATGGCTACTCCAGGGTGAAACGTGGGTACAAACAGACTGACAAGTTACTACAAGCAAACAAACAAAGTTTTGCCTACAAAGCCAAACCAAGACTTCCCAATGACCCGGATTTCGGAAAACAGTGGTACTTGGTGAGTATCCAGTTCATGATTAAGCTCTGTTTCTTAATGTCTTGTAGGTAAGTGGCGGTTGTTGTGGGGTGGTTTTCTCCTTTTATTCCTTTCAAATAATAACCATCCTTATGGTACCCCCCCCCCCTCAAAAAACAACAACAACCGGGCTTCTACATATTGAGGGGGGGGGGGTTCTCTAAAAGTCGGTAGCCATTCATGGATATTTATGCTTCGATGCATTCGCGTGATTACTGCCCTATGAGTATATTTTTACCTGTGTTCTTTCGTTTCTTTCTCTTTTGTTTTTATTTTAACCAACACCCCCCAAGTTCAAAAGCAAATCTACCCCTGCCTACTTCGGTATTGATGACTGAACAAATAAAACAAACAGTCAATTTGCACCTTTTTTTTCCTCTAACTTCAGTTTAGTTTCTTTTCACGTGGCTGAAGAATTTACAGACCAATAGGTTGTTTATCTATCTATCTATCTATCTATCTATCTATCTATCTATCTATCTATCTATCTCTCTCACTCTCTCTCTCTCTCTATATATA